GTCCCAAAAATAAATAAAAACGTTGAAAAATAAAAAATTAAAAAAAAAAAAAAGAAAATAATCTTTTGAGGTCTCCAACTGTTATTGTTGAATTGTCTATTTCTCTTTTGACTTCTGTCAGTTTCATCTCACGTATTTCAGAGCTGTATTTTTAGGTGCATATATGCTTTTAATTCCTATGTTTCACTGATTAAATTACTTTTTAAATGGTATATAATAGGGGCGCCTGGGTGGCTCAGTCGGTTAAGCGTCCGACTTCAGCTCAGGTCACGATCTCGCGGTCCGTGAGTTCGAGCCCTGCGTCGGGCTCTGGGCTGATGGCTCAGAGCCTGGAGCCTGCTTCCGATTCTGTGTCTCCCTCTCTCTCTGCCCCTCCCCCGTTCATGCTGTCTCTCTCTGTCTCAAAAATTAATAAACATTAAAAAAAAATAAAAATGGTATATAATATAATTTATCTTTAATAGCAATTGATACCTAAAATCTATTTTTTCTGATATTAGTAGAGCCTTTCCAGCTCCCTTTTAATTACTGTTTGCATCTTAACTTCCTTTTACTTTCAACGTGTTTGTGTCTTTGAATCTAGTGTGTACCTCTGTAGATAGAATAAGTTTGTATATAATTGTTTATTTTAATTCACTCGACCATCTTTTGTTATTAAAGTGTTTAATCAATTTATATTTAATGTATATAATGCGATTATGGATCTGCTAATTTTGCTGTTTGTTTTTTTAAAGTCTTTTGACTTTTAATCATCCATTTCTTTATCTGTGTTACATAGACAACTTATTGAATACCATTTCAATTCCTTTGCTGTTTAATTCACTTCAGTTTTAGATTTATTTTTGTAGTGGTTTCCTTGCAGATTTCAGCTAACAACTTACCTTAAAACAATTTAGTACATGTCAATTTTATTTCAGTAGTATATGAAAACCTTGTTTCAGTATATCCCCATTCCCTTCTTGTGTTCAATCATTGTCCTACATGTTATATCTTTGTACATTATAAACTTACCAACAGAGTTTTGTAATTATTGGTAATAGATGTTTTATGCAATTTTCCTTTAAATCATAAAGTAGAAGAAAAGTCCTATAAAGAAATACATGTTTATGCTCTCTTTTATATTTATATATTTATTTAACTGTAATGGTGGTCTTTGCTTCTTCCTTTGTGATCCAGTTACTGTCTTATTTCATTTAAGTTAATCTGAAAAAGCTCTTTTTAGCACTTTTTTTTTTTTAGAGAATACTAGTATTTCAATTAATGATTTCTATTAGGTTTTTATTTAGAATTGTCTTGTTTTCCTTCATTTTGAAACACAGTTTTTCTGGATATATTACTGTTTAGGTTATTCTTTCTTCAGTTTTTTTTTTTAAGTTTTTAAAAATGTTTAATGGAGCCAGTAAGGCATATAAATAATGTTTTGGAAGACATTAAGACCTACTTTCTCTTACCAAAGAAAATGGCACATGTTTTATCAAAATTTGTCAATTGAGAGTAAAGAGTACTGAGATTAAGCATCAGAGAACTAATTAAAACAAAAACAACCAAAATTTTTAAAAATGTTATTCAATTCAAAAGGAGGAACTAGAACTAAAGCATAAAGAGAATATTAAATAAGTATTCCTCAATCTCAAAATCCTTTAGGAAGAGGAGTTATGGCTACTTGTGAACAATGGTTCCCACCACCAAACCCCAATTCCAGGATCCAAATTTTCAACAATAGAAAAAACAAAGATAACTCCAAATGAATTTCTGAGCATATTCCAAAGAGAAGCTTGAAAGTATTCATAATAAACAGGCTGTCTGTTTCACGTAAAGTGACAGATTGCTATAATTCTTCCAACTATCATATTCAAACAAACAAACAAACAAACAAAAAGATCCACTTTTGCAAAACTTTAGAAATACCTCACTTTCATTCCTACTTTTAGTATGGAATTAACTTTTTAAAATAAAGGTTTTATCTGTAATGAATACAGAACTCCAGCTCATACATTTCTAATATTCCATTCACCACCCAACCAGTCAATTAATAATATGGTTAATTTAGCAAAGTTTCTTTGCAGGACAATATCATTAAATAGCTGAAGAAATTATGAACTTTAACAAACTGCTGTGAGTAATTTATGGAAAAAACCCTTACACTGATTTGCAATGGTCTTTTAATGGGAAAAATAGGAAGTAACTGAAACTATACTACTACAAGTTTCCAAGGAAACATTTTCACTGTTTTAGGTACTGATAGGCAGACATGGTCTCTGCACTAATGATGAAACATGCTCCAAAACATTGTAGCCATAACAAATCTTCTATGTACTGAAAAAAGGAATCTGCTCAGAACCTTTATTTAGGTGTACCTAACAACTAGAGAACCTCTATACAGTTCCATTTTTTCCAGAATGAGATTCCAAAGTGCATTTGTTAGGAGAGGGACTGAAGGGTTGGGTGTTACTGTTTAAGTTGTAATCACATTATTAACAGATGCAAAACCTTTATCTTCCACCATTCCAATGGAAACTGAAAAAAGTAGGGCATCTATGAAAAAAAGTAGAACTGGACATGTAAGAATAGAATACATACCCCCCCCCACCTCTAGCTCCATCTTACTAATACTGAACCAAAAAGGAAATCCATTCTCAAAGTTCATGACCTCTCTACTTTAGGTCATTCTTGAATGCAGTATGCATGTTTACATTTACCATAAGGTGTAGTATCCTGATTAGGAAGTGGTACTTGTCTTAAAACTGAGCACTTTAAGCCTACAGAGTTAATCTGGGGGAAATTTAATAATATTGCTACTTTTAGAACCCTAACACACACAAAAGTAATACAATAAAGTTCTGTGTACTGATTAAATATTAAGTATTAGTTGTATGACCATCATAGCATTTCTTTACAACATCACACAATCACCAGAAATAGAAACTTCTTGGAAAACTAAAAACAAGGCACAATTCAATCATTAGAAGTTTCACCCTGTGACTATGTAGAAACCAGGTGCATGGTACAGTGCTGCCGCAAAAAATGGAAGCCTGCAGATTTGACAAGGAAGCCAAATCATGGGTTTAAGTCAATTTAAGGAACCTGGTGATACTGTTGAAACAAAATAATAACACAGCAGAAAATAAAGGCATTATATAACCAAATAAACACATCTGATATTCCATTTTCCTTTGAAAATAAATAAAGTCACTGTTAACCTTGGAATGGATATATGGTTGCCTATGATGATCTTGCTAATGACTACACAGTATCAGATGTCCTCTGCTAGGATTATAGTTTTTTTTTAAGTTTATTTATTTATTTTGAGAGACATGATGAATGAGGAGTAGTGAGAGAGGGAAAGAGAAAGAATACCAAGCAGGCTCCACATTGTCAGTGCAGAGCCTGTTGTGGGGCTTGAACCCACTAATAGATCATGACCTGCACCAAAACCAAGAGTCACATGCTTAACCAACTGAGCCAACCAGGTGCCCCTAGCTTTATAGTTCTAAGAAAGCCATAGTTACCAGTTATCATAGTTAGTGTAAATATCTAGAACTTCCTTTTATGACAACCACTATAGAATACACTTGTCTTTAACAGTGAACAAGGGAAGATGGCCTCATGTTTCCTTTGCAATAATAGTATATGTTGGGGATCAAGTGGCCTTCAAGCTTGAAGGTGGGTGTGAAAATGTTTGCAGTTTAGATCATTCTGTTGTGTTTGTGAGTTGGCGAGTCTTACTAACAGCACCACACTGGGCTAAGTTATGCCTTTCAGTTCCACCATTGTCCAAATGGAGAGCCATTTCTTCTGATATGAAAGTGTTCAAATTGAGATCATGTAGTCCATTTGACCAGCATTCCATCCACTGCTCCATGTGTAAGAGAGCCAGGGGTACCTGAACACATTTTTATACTAGCCATTGTACCACTAAGACCATGCAGAGCTAAAGCTTCCCAGAAGGGTTACTAATCAGCCTCTACAGATGAGCTAGTTTCCATTGAAGTAGCTCAGTTAGAGGAAACTACAGTAAGTCTTTGGGGAGCTCTAGAGTTTCATAGTGGAGGAAATTTTCCACACAGGAAGCTGATCAAATTTTCTCTAAGAATAGTTCTTCTGCACTCTTTAACCCAAACCAACACATTGCATCACTGATGGCCAATCTGAATTCCAATATCAAAACTCCACTGATTGGTATCCACGCTTTACTTGTAGAGGATGGTGATGGCAGTGGTTGTATTTTGGAAGGAATCTAGAGAGAAAGTCCTGGCTGATGACACACTTGGTCAGAAAAAGTGAGACAGGTAGGAGAATTATGAGAAGGAGGGGAGAGAGAGAGAGAGAGAGAGAGAGAGAGATTTGGGTGTCAATGACTCCAAATGGTCACATTATGTTTCACCTCGAATGGCCACATTAAGTTTCACCATTTTGTTGCAGGGTTTCAGGATCCCACACTCAGTGTGAAGATTCCAGGAAGGGGGTTGTGTAGGAATGATGGGGGTCTGGGGGCCCAGAGGCGCAGCCCTGGCTGAACAGAGGGCTGGGGAGATGTCCCCTCCCAACCCTACACCAAGGCTGGCTCGGGGCACAATGGGCCTGCCTCCCAGCCTTCCTTCCTCATTTTGTGACAGGCTGTTTCTTTATTCTTGACATAAATTATTTATATTGTTATTTCCTTTCTGTTTGAAGAACTTTAATTAGCAATTATTTTAGAGCATGTAAATCTTGTTACCATCACCTGGTTATTCCCAAAGGATTTTTTTTTTTTTTTGGTCTCCACAATTTCAGATTAGAAATCTGTCATTTGAATCATTGTTTTTCTATGGATAATGTATCATTTATCTCTGTTTTATTTTTCTTTGTGAGATTTTTAGTCTTTAGATTTCTGAAGGTTAATTATGACATGTCTTTATGTGCATTTAATTGCATTAACCCATTTAGGGTAAACTCGGTTCTTGAATTAGTAGTTTTATATATTGTACAAAATTTGGGAAATTTTCAGCAATTTTTCAGAAATCTTTTTTCACCTGTGGGATTCCACAATGACTAGTCTAGGATATATAGGAGACAACACACACACACACACACACACACACACACACACACAGATTCAATGTCATGCTGTTCCCTAAGTCTTGAGATCTCTAGCCAGTCTTTTTTATTCTCTCCACATTTTAGAGTCTTCTGACATTTGTTTTATGTGTTTTATTCAGGAATTTAGTCATACTTATCAAGAATAATGGGATGGAGTAGATTCATTCCATATCATATGGAATCAGAAGTTTTCAGAACAGTGTTAAAAGTAGGTTTACCTGGTGTAATTTGGGTAGAAGATGGATGGGGATGCTGACTGCCAATTTCTAACAGTTTTATTTTTTATCTTGCACCTAGAATTCTATCACCTCCTTAATTTAATAAACAAATGTATTTTAATATCTAATGTTTGCTAGGAACTGTTCTATTTCTCTTGATGTACACGTGGTCAAGAAAATTCAATATATGTCTCAGTATGTAATATCTAGTGCATGATCCATTTGATAAGGGAAGTACAAGATCTTATAAAAGCACAGAGAAGTGCCTAAATCAGACTTATAGAGAATTCAAGAAAAGGTTTACAGAAGATAATTCTAAACTAGAAGCTAAAGGGAAGTTAGTTACATGAAAAGTGGGAAAAGAAAAGCCCAAGAGCATAAGCCATTTATGCAAATTCATCAGTATAACAGAATGCATCACACCTTCATGGAAATGTGAATACTTCAGCATGGTTGGAGTAGAGAATTGTGGTGAAGTGTAGAGCTATAGAAATGAGGTTGGAAAGATAAGTCAGTGTAGTCAAAAATTCTTATCAATGCCCATCTCTCCTTCCCACTGTGCCACAACTTATTCGTTCCATGCTCTCCCCTAACATCAGTGCCCTTGGCCTTGGGGAGATTTACATAGTACTTTTTTCTCTCATTTGGGAAGCATTCAGGTGAAGTAGAAAGATGATTAGAGAGGCTTATTTTTAACCACATTCCAAGATCCAATTAACAGTGAGTCTCTTTATGCCCAGGCAGGTACTTTACCACTTTGTACTTCACCCAGTGAGGTCAATGTAAAGAGACACGTGTTTGTTTTTTTTTTAATTTTCTATAAGTAGAATCCTTCCATGAATTGGGACAATTCATAATTGGGGCCAATGAATTGAGACATACATAAGCAGGCAACTCAACTACAGTTCTTTTCGTTAACCTTTCTGAAGAAGTAGTAATCTGCAACCATTTTGTTTGGCTCTGTCCTCAGTAAGAAACATGGAACTCAGACATAGCCAAAGGAGCACAATAGTGGTGAGACTATTCTGTTCCTAAGCCTTTTGTTAGCTGAAACCAGTAGCATTGCCAGACAGCAGTAGGAAACATTCATGGTCCTGCATTTGGAAGAAAGAGGATGTGATCTTGTCTAAATAGAATACCATCTACCTAAAAGCCATTTGCAAAGCTATTATTTTAGGAAGGGCTGAAAGCTTTAAATAAAATGAATGGGGTTATCTACCTTAAAGCAATTTTAAAGGTCAGAGTTCTTGGAGAATATAAACTAACTGTATAATTATGAAGGAAAAGTGGGAAAATCCTAAAAAAGTTAGTGATCAAGCCATGGATGCTTGCAGTGGGATTGACAGAGTAAGATTCTCTGCCCACTACTGGTGCAGTCTGTGTCTTAGTGGAAATAAGTGTTTTGTCAAAGTACTCATACACATAATCCACACCCTAGACACAATACAAAATAATGTATTAGTAGGAGATAATAATGCATAAGTAAAAGAGTTTGATAATATTTTGGTCAAATGAGCATAATGACAGTATCTCCCTTCCTTATAGTATTATCATGAAGATTATATGATATATCTAAAGTAGCTGGCACATAGTAAATGCTCAGTATATTTAATTGTTAGTAAACACTGATGCTATCGCATTATAAATTGCTAGATACTTCAGAAATCCCAAGAAATCAACAAAGACTAGAGAAGTCAGGGGTACATAGAACTTGAGCTGGGCTTTGAAATGTATTTATATTTCACTTTATTTCATGACTCAGAAGAAATACACAAAATAAATTGGAATAATAGTCTTTTTTGCAATATTACTATGTAGCAGATACACACATTGCATATATTATCTTGCCTTTTTGAATGTACACAAGATTGGTATACACTGTATAGTGAAAGAAGATATGAACCAGATAATTTTGGAAATAAAGCCATAAGCATAGGAATTTGGATTCAAATTCAGGTCTGTCTGACTACAAAGCCTATAGTTTGAACCACTGTAACATACTGACTGTTAAGAAAAAAACAAATCTGGAATGTTAAATTAAAATCATATTTGGAAAAAAAAATCAATAAACATATGAGGTTCAGGGGAAACAAACTTGTAAAGAGGTGGTTGTGGTAGAAAATTTATAAGCCTCTCCAATTTCTGAAGGAGAAAAACATCAGAAATATATTTTTTCTTTAAAAATGAAAATGAGTCATAACCCAAAAAGTAAGATTTCGAAAGCTAATGAAAATTCTTAAGACAAATGCAATTTTTGCCTTGATTGAACTTACTGGTTTCAAATTTCTGACATTGAAGAAGAAAGTATTGATTCTGAAATGACATAGTTTCCTTTTCTGTAATATGTGGTTTGTCTTTTATTAGTTTTGGAATTTGGGGAAATACTGTTCATGTAAGTAATAAAACAGTATATTTTCTGAAAATTAGTAATGGTTTTTAAATTGAATCAGTTGAATATGAATGCTTCAGGAATAATTTTATTAAACTTTTTAAAAATTCTATTGTGGTAAAAAAAGGCTTTTAAAGGTTTTCATTATAGAATTAAGATAACTATAGTTTTTTTAAACATAGGAATCCTGATTGTTTTCTAAAACCTAAATATAATGTAATATTTTTATTATTGTTTCTGTTTTGTTTTACTATCACTTTTTCTCCCACATGCTCAAGACAGGAGAAATAATTAGATGTAGGTAAGTAGGCCAGACTATACTACACCGTTATGAAAGTTAAATCACAAACCTGTCTGTGAATTTCCTCATGCAGGGTGGAAAAGAATGTATAATTGTCTTAGTCTATTTGTGCTGCTATAACAAAAAGACCACAGATTGGGTGTCTTAAACAACATTTAATTCTCAGAGTTCCAGAAGTTGAGACAGCAAGATCAAGATGTTGTCGGATTTGGTGACTGTTTAAAGTCTACTTCTTGGCTTATACATGGCCATCTTCTCACTGGTGGAAGGGGCAAGATATTTCCCTGGGGTCTCTTTTAGCAAAGCATTAATACTTTGAAGACATAATTACTTTACTTTCCAAAGGCTCCACTCCAAACACTATCACATTTAGGATTAGGTTTCAACATATGACTCTGGGGGGCAGGGAACACATAAACATTCAAACATTTAGCCTATAGCATTAATTAAATGATTCACAGTATTTGCAAGGAGATAATACACTGGTTTCTCAGACAAAACACAATCTTTGCTGAGATAAAGTATGTTAGGATAGTGGTTTTCAATGTGTGGTCCCTGGATTTCATTGAAACTTATTTGAAATGTAAATTCTTGGGCCCTAACCCAGAGCTACTAAATCAAACTATGGGTGGGACAGCACACCAGATGATTCTGAGGCATGCTCAAGTTTTAAACCCACTGGGTTAAGGTAGGAATAATAATTCTGTCTGAGTTTATTTGTGGTTAGGTAAAGAAATTTACTGAGTTAGGTCAAATAATTAGTTAAAATTCTGTTTAACATACTCCTTCCTTCAGCTAAAAAGAATTTGATATATTTGGAAAACAAATAGATTTGACATTGTGATGTTATGAGAAAGGGCATTAATATTGGTATTTGGAAGATAATTAATTTAGGAATTAATTTAGAGAATTAGTCATGATTTCCTGGAGGATAATTTGATACTACTCATCAAAAGCCTAGAAATTTCACTTTTAAAAATTTAGTCAAAGAAAATAGTTCCTCAAATGTGTGAAGATGGGTGTACAAGAATATTTAGCAAGTCATTGTTTCCAATAATTAAAAATGGTAATCTACCTCAATGTCCACTAGTGAAATAAATTATATAATTCTCATGAAATTCTAAATATCCATTAAAATGATTATTCAAGTGTTTATTTATAATAAGACACCATATTCATATTAATTTGATTGAATATATACTACGATTATAAGATAGTATATGTATATGAATCAAATTTGGTTAAAATATCCATACATGTATTCGTTTATAGATCTATAGACATGGATAAAAAAATATGTTATACACCAAAATATTAACAATGGAAATATTGGTGATAGACATGTATATATTTTGTTTGTGCTATTCTCTATTTTCTAATGTGAAACTATATTCCTTAAATAAAGACACAACAAAAGCTTAAAAGCAACCTAATTTAAGATGACTTTTAAGCATATTTTTTACACAATCTTATTATTAGGAACAAGTAATACTCATTCTGCTTTTTAAAAACACTGTGTCCTCGAATATCGGGGGGAAAATAACTAATCCCTCTTGCTTTAATAATTCACTG